ATACACAAAAGGAAGAGAACTACATGTAACTCTGTCCTCCTAAAAGATTACTTTTGTTGCTCTAATTTCTCTTTCCACGGCTGCTGTGTACACAGTATGCTAAAGCCTACTGTCTTTGACTTTCTGGAGTTCTATTACTAAAAGTATAAAGTTTTCTGCTTCATAAACAAAAATATGGTGTTTGGGGGTTTAAAAGAAACAAGAAGTCCTGGTGTCTGAGTGATTCCCCGGGCCCAGCAAAGGGACCAAGTTTCCAGAGCCTTGAAGGCAAGGGGTAACACCCCAAAATACGGACTCATTTTCCACTCTACCTTCATTGGCCGAGCAGCTGCCAAGAACAAAGGTCTCATCTCCCGATACCTGGCAAACAAATGCAGTATTGCCTCACGAATTGATTGCTTCTCTGAGGTGCCCACCAGTGTTTTGGGGGAGAAGCTTCGAAAACAAGTTGAGGAGCGGCTGTCCTTCTATGAGACTGGAGAGATTCCCTGAAAGAATCTGGATGTCATGAAGGAGGCAATGGTTTAGGCAGAGGAAGCGGCTGCGGAGATGACTAGGAAGCTCGAGAAACAGGAGAAGAAATGCTTGAAGAAGGAAAAGAAAAGGCTGGCTGCAATTGCCCTGCCTTCTTCAGAAAACAGCAGTGCCCCAGAGGAGTGTGAGGAGACAAGTGAAAGACCCAAAAAGAAGAAAAAGCAAAAGCCCCAGGAGGCTTTTCAGAAGAATGGAATGGAAGACCCATCTGTCTCTTTTTCCAAGAAAAAGAAATATTTTTCCAAGGAAGAGCTAGTTAGTAGTCATCTTGAAGAGACAGCTGGTACTGGAGGTCTTCCCGAAAGGAAGAAATCTTTTCCCAAAGAGGAACCAGTTACTGACCCTGATGAGTCAGAAAACAAGAGGGTACCCGAGAAAAAGCAGAAATTGTCTTCCAAGGAGGAGCCAGTCAGCAGTGGACCTGAAGAGGCTGCTGCCAGCAAGAGCAGCGGCTCCAATAAAAAGGAAAAGCTCCGAAAGCTATCCCAGGAAAGTTAGAATGGACATCTTCCTAGTGGGACATAACTTACAGAGGTATTCCCCATCCCATCCCCTAGAGCCCAATAAAAATAAAAACAAATTCAAGAAAAAAAAAAAAGAAATGAGAATGTTAACCTCAGTCTCCAGGATGCTGCCTGCCAATCAGATAACTTGGTGGCCTTGTGGCCCTGAAGAAGCAAAAGAGTTGTTCGTTAAGTATCTGATGAATTCTTAACTGTGTATGGTTAAAATCTTTATCTTAGGGGAGGTGATGGTCAAGGAGGGTCTCCAGCTCAATACTGTTTTTAAAATACTTTTCCCTTGTTCCCCTTCGGGGATAATGGCCTCATTACTCAGCAAACTGCCCCATATAGAAACCTGGCAGCCAGTGTCTTGCTGAGTTTGTTCACAATAATCCCCAGTTGAGTGGATTCTGCCTGGGACTTTTCTTTCCTATCTTACTCTCTACCTCTGGCTCCAAACCTTTTTCTTTTAACCTATGGTTTATCTGCCAGATATCAGCATTCTCACCACCTTCCCTCCACTCCCCTACCCTCTTCTCTGACTTTGCTATCACCATGACTGTTTTTTAACTAACCAGTTAAAAAACACTGAATGGGGGTGGGTAGTTGGGAAAGAGGTCCAAGAGGGAGGGCTACATATATATACAAAAAGCTGATTCACTTTGTTGTACAGTAGAAGCTAACACAACACTGTAAAACAACTATACCCTAACTGAAAAAAAACAAAAACAAATCAAAACACTGAACAGCTTTATCCTGCTGATAAGAGCAACACTACTAAAGTATAAACTACTTAGGACTGTGTATAAGATCTCTTTAATTTTGCATAGAAGAGAATAGAAAAATGAGTTCTTTTAATTTGGTGATGATAATATAAATTATGATATTTCTTGACAATATGCAGTATTAACAGATGTATAAAGTGCATTCTAAAGAAGCTTTTTCTTTCTTTAGGGATTTTATTTACAGTTATTGAATCTCTCTCCCTCTACCCCCAGCACTGTTTTTGTATTTAAGAATGGGGTGTAGTTGAGGGATGGAGTGGGAGTTTTGGGTTAGCAAAAGCAAAGTCTTATACAGAGAATGGATAAACAACAAAGTCCTACTGTACAGTACAGGGAACTATATTCAACATCCTGTGATAAACCATAAAGGAAAAGAGTATGAAAAAGAATATGTACATATATATGTGTAGCTGAATCACTTTGCTGTATAGCAGAAATTAAGACAACATTGTAAATCAACTATACTTCAAAAAATAAACTAAGAAAATAAAGAGTGGAACGCAGCTGCCTAGGCCCAGAGTGCTACCTGCTGGTGGTCACAGCATCTATGTGGGCCACCAGACACACGCCTGGGGTCCCAGAGTAACAATTATGCTTCCTTTCACCCTCAAAGAGCACTAGTTTGCACAATAAATTATATGGTTATCCTGGGCATGGTGGTGGTGGTTTAGTCGCTAAGTCGTGTCCGACTCTTGCTCCGTCCATGGGATTCTCCAGGCAAAAATACTGGAGTGAGCTGATCCCATGGACGGAGCAAGAGTCGGACACGACTTAGCGACTAAACCACCACCACCATGCCCAGGATAACCATATAATTTATTGTGCAAACTAGTGCTCTTTGAGGGTGAAAGGAAGCATAATTGTTACTCTGGGACCCCAGGCGTGTGTCTGGTGGCCCACATAGATGCTGTGACCACCAGCAGGTAGCACTCTGGGCCTAGGCAGCTGCGTTCCACTCTTTATTTTCTTAGTTTATTTTTTGAAGTATAGTTGATTTACAATGTTGTCTTAATTTCTGCTATACAGCAAAGTGATTCAGCTACACATATACAAGCAACTCCTCCAGCTCAACTCCAGAAAAATAAATGACCCAATCAAAAAATGGGCCAAAGAACTGAACAGACATTTCTCCAAGGAAGACATACAGATGGCTAACAAACACATGAAAAGATGCTCAACATCACTCATTATCAGAGAAATGCAAATCAAAACCACAATGAGGTACCATTACACACCAGTCAGGATGGCTGCTATCCAAAAGTCTACAAGCAATAAATGCTGGAGAGGGTGTGGAGAAAAGGGAACCCTCTTACACTGTTGGTGGGAATGCAAATTAGTACAGCCACTATGGAAAACAGTGTGGAGATTTCTTAAAAAGCTGGAAATAGAACTGCCATATGACCCAGCAATCCCACTTCTGGGCATACACACCGAGGAAACCAGATCTGAAAGAGACACGTGTACCCCAATGTTCATCGCAGCACTGTTTATAATAGCCAGGACATGGAAGCAACCTAGATGCCCATCAGCAGATGAATGGATGAGGAAGCTGTGGTTTATAATAGCCAGGACATGGAAGCAACCTAGATGCCCATCAGCAGATGAATGGATGAGGAAGCTGTGGTACATATACACCATGGAATATTACTCAGCCATTAAAAAGAATTCATTTGAATCAGTTCTAATGAGATGGATGAAACTGGAGCCCATTATACAGAGCGAAGTAAGCCAGAAAGATAAAGACCATTACAGTATACTAACACATATATATGGAATTTAGAAAGATGGTAACGATAACTCTAGGTGCAAAACAGAAAAAGAGACTCCTATGTATAGAACAGACTTGTGGACTCTGGGAGAAGGCGAGGGTGGGATGTTTCAAGAGAACAGCATTGAAACACGTATATTATCTAGGGTGAAACAGTTCACCAGCCCAGGTTGGGTGCATGAGACAAGTGCTCGGGCCTGGTGCACTGGGAAGACCCAGAGGGATTGGGTGGAGAGGGAGGTGGGAGGGGGGACCGGGATGGGGAATACATGTAAAAAAAAAAAAAAAAAAAAAAGATACACTATGGTTGTGATAAAAAAAATAAAAAAAAAAAAATAATAAATAAACAACAACAACAACAACAAAAAAAAAAAAAAAAAAAGATATGGGTAGTTTTCTATTAAGTATCTTTTACAAAAATTAAAATGGAACTTTATTTATAGATAAATACAAAAATGGCCCTCTTAAGCATTGTTTTATGCAAAGAAAGATTTTAAAAGGTAAACATCCAGATATAATAGGCAACCTTCTCATTGTTACCTTTTAGAAATCACTTCTTAAAATTAAGTTCTTTCAGACTTTGAACTCACCAAAGGCAGAGAGTATTAGTCCTTGAGTTTCCTGCTCTCTTACAAACACCAGCGGGTGGAGTGGGGTGATCAGAGGAAGTGGGTTTTGGGAACCAAGTCTGAGTACAGAATGTATTGATATTTTCCTATAGAAACTACCACTTAAGTTGTAGTTCAATTAATAATAATAGTATTGAAAATGAAAGTGTTATTTCACAATCGGATCTAACTCTTTGCAACCCTGTAGACTGCAGCCTGCCAGGCTCCTCTGTCCATGGGATTCTCCAGAGAAGAATATGGAGTGGGTTGCTATATTCTTCTCCAGGGGATACAGAAATGAGACCTATCTAAATTTCATAGGAAAGGTGGTGATAGTAGTTTCAAATTTAAAAAACAGTGAGAAGACTTCATAGGGTTTTAAAATGAAAGTTCAGGTACACAATAGAGAACAATTCAGTCTTTCTGCTAAGAATAAAAGTCTTCATTATTTATGACCATCAGGAAATGTGGGCAAGAGATGTGGTAAAAACATAGACAAAGATCAATGGTATTGCATGTTTTGAAATATCGAAATATCATTTCTATAATTGTAGAAATAAAAAACTAATGTCTGAAGAAGTATAAATACTATTTTGAAATACTTAAAAAACTAGGTCATAATCTTTAGTAAATATAAAGTCAATGAAATTTGCCTTTTGGTAAATATTGCATCTTGCTTCATTTCTTCAGCAGGAATCAAGAAGTACAACATCAGTAGCAAAATTCAGCAACATGCTCCCTGCTCCATACACCTGGGAACTGGCACAGTGCTGCACCACTCTGGCCTCTGGGAGCTACGTACCAAGGGTGCGCTGGGTGGAACGCCTGCCGACCAGGTGGCGGGGGCTACTTTCGGCTGCCAGTTGGCTCCTCCAGTCAACCTCTTCTCTCCAGCATTCCACTGAAGATCTCCCCTAAAACCATGCAAAACACACACACAATCAGAAAAGAACAGTATGTGGCTCCTTAGATGTTTATTTTTATTTGGGATCAAGAAGAAATAAAGAGAATGGGATAAAACAAAGGGAAGAGTCTTACTACATTGTATCTAAGAGAGTTTAAGAACATTTGACAAAAAAATCAACTGGAGTTTTGATCTCAGTGATAACAGGAATTTCCTGTCACTGCTAATGGAAAAATGTGCCACAAAATTCAACTGAATTCATCACTGGTTACAAAAAGTTCCAAATAAGTATGTCATAAATACTGTGTATCCTTTGCTGAACTGAAAATGAATCCATGATGGCACTCTCTGGATCTTAGTGGTTTCAACAGAAGGTTTCATACAATTTAATCATGACTACCACTTGCCTTCCAGCGATTATAAGATTGTATCTATTGTTAAATGCATCCCAATTTCAGAGATGTTGAAATATGCATCTAAAAAAGGTGTACATTGTCATTTTTACTATTCTTCCATAGAACTGACTCCATGAGACACTTTTTAAAATCAATGTTAGCTAGGAATATTACAATGAATCTAGAATTTAAAGCTATTAAATTATTCAAATCACAATTCCCAAGTATTTCTAGATTATAATTTAGTGAATCTGGAGACTGAAACAGATTATTTCTTCTCATTGCAGAGTCAACAGTTTGGATGTTCCAGTAGAATAACAACAAAAACAAAAACAGAATGAAATAAAAACCAATTTAGAAGTTACCTAGCTTGAGAATGAGTAATACTCCATTAAGTACAAGGGTTGAGAGCCTTGAACAAGTACAAATACACTGTCATAAGAAAACCAGACAGTTTCAAAAATACTTACTTTTTGGATGTGGTACCAGAAATTCCAAGATCTATAAATGGATAAGAGAAAAAAGAATTTAAATCTCTATACTCAACTTAAATGACATGACATTTTAAAAGATCAAAGAATCAGAGGTCTAAAAAAGTCCATATTTTGCATACAAATGACTGCATTTAGTTTTACAGAGGAGAAACCACTTTAGGAAACATATTCACAAGTCCAACATTTTCCTTCACTTCACGTTATTCTTAAGGATCAAACTTTCAAGTCAATTGGTGTTGAAATGAGTGAACTTAGGAGGCTTGAGACTGCTATCTTAGGAAGGCCTGCGTGGCTGGGAACTTGGTGAATATAACCTTCTTCTGTGCTCGGTGGCTAGGTCATATCCCACTCTTTGAGACTCCATGAGATTTCCCAGGCAACAATACTGGAGTGGCTTGCCGTTTCCTTCTTCAGGGGATCTTCCTGACCCAGGGATGATTGGCTGGCAGGTTCTTTATCACTGAGCCACCTGGGAAGCCAAATTGTTCTTTACACTGAGATAATACTTCCCTAATGATAAGCGTGGCTCACTTGTCTGAACTGTACAGTCAACTAGATTTATGCTGAAAATCTGCTTTCCTTTCAGGAGACTGGCTGGTATTTTGGTACATGTTAGGCAGAGTGCCTACAGGATGAGAACCCAATAAAAACCTTGGCTGCCGAATCTCTATAAAGGGCTTTCCTGGGCAGAAAACTGTGTGCATTGTTCCATGTTTGTGTGTTCTTCCCCTCTTGGGGAAGAGAGAGCATAAGGAAGTCCATGTGTGGATTCTTCTGGGCTTTTCCCTTGATGATCCAGCTGTAATCTTAGCTGTGAGTACAACCAAGTGCTGACTCCCTTGGGTCCTTCTAGTGAATCTACGAATTATGTGAGTTGTCCTGGCAACTCCTGATCCAATGGGTTAAATCATTCTGCTCTAATCTCAATTCACTTACTACTACAGCAAATATTTATTGAGCCCCCATATGCCAGGCACGGTTCTAAGCACCTGAGACAAGCCAGTGATGCAAATAAAGATCCCAGTCCCAAAGGAATTTGCATCCTCTTGGGGTGAGATGCATGATAAAACAACAAAATAATAGAAGAGTATATAATCTACTAGAGGCAATACAGCAAGCCTATGGAAAATGAATATGAAGAACAGGGTAACAGAGAGCTGGTGGGTTAGGTTGAGAGTGAAGCTCAAGGAAGCCTCTTGGGGTGAAGCTTGTGCAAAGCTGCACAGAGATCTGGGGAAGAGCTTTCTAGGTGAGTCACCTGGTACCCTCTCTGGTGAATGGTAACTGTATGTTTAACATTTCCAGAAACTGCCAAATCACTTTTCATGGCAGTTGCTCAATGTTATCAATACATTCTCCTCAGCAATGTTAGAGGGTTTTAATTTTTCCATGTCTTCTTCAAGACTAGTTACGATCTCTTTTTTTCATTACAGCCATCTTAGCCTCTTGATGAAAGTGAAAGAGGAGAGTGAAAAAGCTGGCTTAAAGCTTAACATTCAGAAAACTAAGATCATGGCATCTGGTCCCATCACCTCATGGGAAATAGATGGGGAGACAGTTGAAACAGTGTCAGACTTTATTTTTTTGGGCTCCAAAATCACTGCGGATAGTGACTGCAGCCATGAAATTAAAAGACGCTTACTCCTTGGAAGGAAAGTTATGCCCAACCTAGATAGCATATTAAAAAGCAGAGACATTACTTTGCCAACAAAGGTCTGTCTGGTCAAGGCTATGGTTTTTCCAGTGGTCATGTATGGATGTGAGAGTTGGACTGTGAAGAAAGCTGAGGGCCGAAAAATTGATGCTTTTGAACTGTGGTGTTGGAGAAGACTCTTGAGAGTCCCTTGAACTGCAAGGAGATCAAACCAGTCAGTCCGACAGGAAATCAGTACTAAATATTCATTGGAAGGACTGATGCTAAAGCTGAAACTCCAATACTTTGGCCACCTCATGCGAAGAGTTGACTCATTGGAAAAGACCCTGATGCTGGGAAGGATTGGGGGCAGAAGGAGAAGGGGATGACAGGATGAGATGGCTGGATGGCATCACTGACTCGATGGGCATGAGTCTGAATAAACACCGGGAGTTGGTGATGGACAGGGAGGCCTGGCGTGCTGAGATTCATGGGGTCGCAAAGAGTTGGACATGACTGAGCGACTGAACTGAACTGAACTGAACTGAATGGGTGTGAACTAGCTTCCTTGGTGGCTCAGCGGTAAAGAATCCGCCTGCAGTGCGGCAGACTTGGGCTCCATCCCTGGGTCAGGAAGATCCCCTGGAGAAGGAAATGGCAACCCACTCCAGTATTCTGGCCTGGAGAATTTCACAGGCAGAGAATCCTGGCGAGTTACAATACATGGGGTCATGAAAGATTTGGACATGATATAGCAACTAAATGGCAAAAAATGGTTGTGAAGTGATATTTCACTGTGGTTTTGATAGGCATTTCACAGATGACTGATGTTGAGCCCCTTTTCATGTGTATATTGGCCATATGTATATATTCTTTGGAGAAATGTCTTCTTTAAATCATGGGAATGGGAAACAAAAATATGTCTGCAGGAATACTGCATAGAAAAAAGCTGTCTCACGGATCTGGTAAACTTTTGGTATAGCCTTGAGTAAAACAAAAGGTATCAGTGATGGTAAGCCCATTCACCTTAACAAAAGAATTAAATTCAGAGTTAAAACAAGGCCAATCTTTGTAATAGCTCCCTCATCTTCTAGGAGTCTCTCCTTCACTTACCCAGCTCCAGTCACTAATGTCTGTGGAACTCCTTGAATATGCCAAGCAATCACCTGTCCCAGTGCTTTTGCACTGGCCATCTCCTTTGCCCACAAATGTTTTCCTTCAGGTATCCATATAATTCACTCCTTTACCTTCAAATCTTTGCTCAAATTTTACCTTCTCAGTGAGGGCTACTCTGTAGCACTTACAAACCCTCTTTGACAGTCCTGTTTTTTCTTCATGGCACTTACAACCTAACATATTTGAGAATTTATTTATTTGAAAATATTTAATGTTGTCTCTGCCCTGCTAAGCACTGTAAGAACAGAAATTTCTATCTGCTTTGTTCACTGATTTATCTCTAGAGCCTGGAAGACTGCCTGGTGCTCAATAAATATTTGTTCAATGAATAACTGAAACTAACTTGGATACTCAATTGATAAATATGTTATTTCCAAATGAAATAAAAAATTAAGTAATTTATTTAAGATAATACACTTAGATTTCATTCTACATGCTCTCTAATTACACCTTTGGTAATTCAGATTAAAAGTGGCCTCCCTGTTGCTTGTGAGAAAATGGCACAGGGACTGTGTATCTTCCAAGGAATTGTATTGGGTAAAACACTAAGAATTTCTGTCTACTCCTTGACATACTCACCTGTAAGTGAATCCAGAAACAATACATACCAAAAAAAAAAGAGAGAGAAATTCACATATGATTCTGTTAAAGAAAACTATTCTATTACTCACTGCCTACTAAGCTGGCAAGAGATGAGTCAAGGTCACTCCCAAGGGCTTTGCTTGCCGCCATTGCAGGACTTGGTGGTACCAGTGAGATGGGTGCAGGCTGCCCAGTTGGTGCCATGGTTGGCATCAGAAGATCACCTAGACCATCAAACACTGGAAATCAAACAAAACAGGTTCAGAATAATCACAAAAGGAATATGTAAAATCAAAGGGAAACTCTTTTGAAAAAGAATGAAACAAGTACATTTACAGTCTTACCAAAGAAGGCATTTAATCCATACTTTTAATGACTATAACACAAAAAGAACATCTCTACATATGTTTACTCATAAAGTATGGAAATACTAATGAACATGAAAGTGGAAAAAAAAATTGTGTAACACTCAGGAAAGAGCACAGACTTGGCAATCAGAATTGGGCTCAATGTCAGCTGCCTGCCTCACTAGTGTGTGACTTTGAGAAAGTGACTGTCGGAGTTTTTATTACCTGTAAGTGGAAAGAGTACAACTAAAACATGGATTTGTTGTGAAGATTAAACCAGATGATATACGTTGTGCCTTTACTATAATGCTCACTCAAAATAGGCATTTAATATGTGGTAGTTACAATGCTTACTTTTATAAAAATTCTTAAATGAGAATGTAAGTCTGAATCTCCTAATTCCTATGAAATCAGTGCTGGAATAAAATCTGATCTGACGATTAGTACCTATTAATAAATACTTGAAAAACATAGTGTAGAAGTAAGAATTTTGATTTTTGTTTCTTTCATTGTAGTATTCACTTTTGGTTCTAACTTTAAGGGCATAGCTACAGTATATGCTATTTTCAGTATTAATAATCATGCAATTATTGATGGTTCTTGATCAGCATGTAACAAATGACTATTTTGTTTATTTTATTTAGTTCCTGGAATACAGAAAGTCTATTCAAAAATGCTGGCTCATAGGATTTGTAAATAAGCTTCTGCTGATAAACCAAAAACAAAAGTTTCATGGTTGCTAATTGTTTATACATATATAAAAATAATGCATATTTACCATACACACACCACTCTACAATAATTCTAAATTAAAAGAAGGACAGCATTCAACTCAGCACTGGCAATGGAAGCAACCAAATTGTCAGGCAGAGGATATAATTAGGGTGTTTCTGAAACACAATTACCAAAAACTCACCAATTGGGAATTTGTAGTAGGGACCCAGCATGAGAAGAGGAGAATGGAAGAAAATACAAACAAAACGACAGCAGGATGAAAGGTTAAAGGCAGGCAAAGAATACTATTTGTGTCAACGTCATCAAACTAGGGCCAGGCAAACTTCAGAGTGTAAGCAACAGCAGTGGGAGTGTCGACACCCTGAGATGCTGCACAAAGATCTAGCACAAAGTATTTGTTTTCCCTTAACTTTCTCCAAACATGTGCACATAAGCTCATGCAAACAGATGGTGTGCATGTTAAGTTAAATTTCTGCTAAAAAATAAAAACAAAAACAGAAAGAGACTGCAGGTTATTCTTAAAGCCACCAAAATGTATGGAAAATATTTATTTAGATTATAGAAGGAGAGGTTCATTGAACAGTTTTAAAACCAGGTCTTCATTCAATATTTGCTTATAAATTTCCTGATATCACACGAACCTGAGGTGGTGTATTTTAGAAACAGAACAAATAAAAAGAATGTTTGAAAAATCACTGCCTCACCTGAAGGATCAAAGGAGCTGCTGCTAGAAGTTGAAGGCGTTGTTCCAAAAGCTGCCTCAAAATTGGGCTGTAGCAGGTTATTCTGAGCTGGAGTCACTGGAGATGGAGAAGGAGCCATGAAAGAACCCCCAAATCCTGGGAAAAAATAGTTTCAGAAAAATATAAGCAGAAACAACTAAAGATAGGTAAAGGCCAATAAAACAGAGTCAGCAGAAGTAACAGAAGACCAAAAAGGCATTCAGTGCATATGGATGAGAAGGCAATGAAACCCAGGAAGTTATGCTTTGGAATAGTTTTTCAAGTATCTCAAAATCTGACACGTAATAATGAGATTTAATTTAATTGGAAATCAGACAGTACACAAGACTTTATGTCCCTGTTAAGAGAACCTGCAGCAAGCCAATCTACCATTATGATGGAGTACATAAAGCTGAGATGGTTTCACTATGGCTAAACTTCAGATAGTCATTTTTGTATTTAAATTTTGTTTCTTCAAATCACAATACCAGGTACTTCGAAAATGCTTAGTTTACACATTGGCTCGGTATAATAATAAAATGCAAATCAGAAAAACATGCATGTATCCTGCCATCAACTCCTTAATGTATTTCTTGTATGTTCCAGTCCCATTATTGCCATTGACAAGTTTAGGTTCACCCAATACAATACAAAGTGGCTTTCTGCCTCTAATTTGTAGCTCCTCCAACCTAGCCTTTACAGTGCAGGCAGAGTGATCTTTCTGAGTAGAAAATGCTGACAAAGTTACTTCTCTAATATCCTTCATGGGCTCCCCAGAACTTTCAGATTCATATAATGTGGCTTCCTTTATAAAGCAAACAAGCGCATCCGTCTCTGGGCCTCCTTCTCCCCTCCCTGCAAACTCAGTTGCAGCCATAATACATCACAATGAGTCAAATACCAGCCCTGGGAGGACTTCCGTGCCTCCTACTGCCACCACAGCTCCCAGCCACGACGACCTTGCCCCTCCCACACCTGATATACATGGGTGAAGTGTCCTGCCTCTGTGCTCTCAGCACTGGTACATCGCCCCACCCCACCTGTATACCATACTTGATTTCCACCCCAAGTCCCCACCCTGGGGATGGCATTTTGGTGTCAGGAACCATCTTTTTTCATCTTTTCCATGAATACTCAGTCAAATGTCTAAAACAATGAATTAACACTTATTGAATGAAAGGTACTTTTGAATTTAAAAGATGAGGAGAAAGCAAAGACCTCAAATTAAGTGTTTCTCTTTTGAAGCCTGGAAGTAAATCACTGCTCTCAGTAACAGACAGAAGCAGAGCTCACTGTGTATTGCTTCTGTACAAAAAGATGCAGCCTATGAAGAAAGTGACTCCTTAAGGAGACATTAGATGATGTCCTATTATTAAACACGCATCAAAATTAAAGAAGTCTTTTTTATATTCAGTTTGGGTATATATATATATAATATATATATATATATATAAATGTATTCTTTTCTCATCTAGCTGTATCTTTTCCTCACAAAATGCTTGCCAAAAAACATAAAGAATGCTTACAAAAAACCTTCAGCTTACATTTCATAACAGTCAGTTTATAATTTTAGAAATGACTTACATTGAAGTACTCCAGTTACTATTTCTAACCAGAAAGTCATGCTGCCCCTGGAAATGGACAGTGACATTGGCTTAGGTTTCCTTGTTTATGTATGAAAAAAATGCAACTTGGAGGACTGTTACCTATTAGAAGATGCTCTCTAAAATTCACGGGGACTACCTGAAGTGATTTTAGCAGTTTTCAAGTGATTTAAGGATCATGTAACCTTCCTAAATGAAGATAAGACATCCTGTAGATATTTAAAAATTAATATCATAATGAAGCAAAGATGGGATAAATGCAATTATTTTTGAGGATATGACCATTTTGGTTTTAGGAAGGTTGGTTGCTGCATTAAGGCTAACTTCTTGGAAACATCCCCCACAAGCTGGAATACAGTTTTCGGAAATCTAGGCAATGGGTACGGTTTTCTTTGTTATAGGTGAACATGGAAACAACTGTACTTGACGCTCAGTTTCTTAAAATTTGGTCAAAAAAGGACAATTTATTCTAGGGTCACAGCATATCAGTGTTGGAAAGGACATTAAGATCAGCTGATTCAATCCTACCTTTTCACAGCTAGAAAAGATGCAAAGGGAAGTTAACACACCACCGTGACTCGGTAATAAAAAGAGAAAACCATGTGCATTTACCCAGGGCTTAACTGCTTAGTGCTGCTGAGTTTCATTAAGGTAAGAGGATCATTCCCATAGATGAATAAATAACACTGTTTAATGAAAAAAAAAATCATTGCTTTCTCTATGAAAGTGAAGGTTTAGCCAAAATTGGCATGAGGCTCACCAAATGACAGGCACATTCTGAGAAATTTCTTGAACTATCTGAGCCACATACGTTGCCAATATTTGACCATTTTGATCCTACAAAAATAGCAATTTTATATCATTCAACCTAAGACATGTATTAGCTCATTTAAACCTCACAATCACTCCAGGAATTTTCATGAATGGGGGAACTAGGGCCACAGAGGTTAAATAATTTGACTCAGGTGACCTGACGGCAAGTGCAGAGCCAGGATTTCAGAACGGAATCTTCCAGAACCCTGGTTCTTCTCCACAATACTACTTGGCCTCTTTCCTAAAGCCAGGAGTGAGGTCAGAGTTATCCCCTTTTGATAGGTTTATAAAGTCAACAGAGATATGGAAAGATGGCTTTTCCCCATTATACTCAGTTCTTATGAAGCAGGCACCTTCAAAGCTATAAAGTGATATAAAATAACCAACTGATTATTATGTTAAGGAAGAAAAATCTGTCACTTTACTCCAAAGGAAGAGTTCAGCAGGAAAATGATAGACATTAACAAGGAGTTTGGAGAACTCATGTTAAGTGAAAAGTTTTAGAGACTTGGAATAGAGGTAAGGAGTAAGAGGCCACTAATGATGACTCTTTCTCTTTGGTTCTGAATTATATTAAGAAAGTCTGTGCAACTGAAAATAAAGTAATAACTACTAGACTTCCTGCCTATTTATATATGTCTCAGATGTCCTGCAGACATGTTTGAGCTGTCCTACAATGGAATCAGCAGCTAAAGACATACTGCCTTTTATCACAGATGATCAGTCTTATGAACGTTATCTCTCTACAGGGGAATGGCCTACACACTTAATGAAGTTCTATTAATAGAGACATATCAAAACTGACATTCGTCATCTACACACATCACTTGGGTCGAGGGAGTACCATGTTAAAATTATTGGTAGATAAATACACTCCGATACACATTTCCCCACACTCACATGTGCTCTATTGTGTTAAAGAGGCTGCCATTTCCTTTATTCTCAGTGGTACAGTTATTAAGTCCATTTACTAAGATCAATCTGGGAGAGTCAATATTTCTAAGAATAACAGCCTGAGAACCTTCTGTCTGACAATTTTCTGTTTCTGACCCCCAGAGAAGATGAAATGATTGGTCCTCTACAGACCATACCAGTTAGTGGGAACTGTTATTAACTGCACACTGGAAGTTTTTATATTTTAAATCAATTCAAGGACTTCCATGGCCCGGCTAAAGCGACCCGTGCCATGTGGTTAACAGAAAACGCGCTAACTATGAAAGGTCTCCCTCTTACTGCAGGACGTTATTCTCCCATACCTGTGGAATTAAAACTAGGAAGAGGCACAGTCCTATGCTAATACAGATTATGGTGCAGTCCTCCCAGAATTGTTTGTTATGGAAGAAAATGCTTTTCCTGTTTGATGTCAACCTCAGAAGTTAGGCATATCCCTCCTCCCTTAATAGTCCATTTTTACATGGCCATCCAGGAAACTGTCTCCATCTTTCAAATATCTGTATCTTCAGCTGATATCTCATAAGAGGAATTTGACAGTTATACTCTTCAGTGGGTGAAATAACATTTCATTTGTTATAATAACTCTCAAGTTTCCAGCCAGACTCTGTCTGAGATGTGGGTGATACCTGTATCCCACCAGCAACCTCAATGACTTGGAGAGATTTATTCTGTTAGCTTGTCCTCCTTGGACACAGAAGCTGCCTCGTCTAGAAAGTTCTCTAGTTTCACCACACTGGGTATACCAAATAGAACCTGAAATTTTTACTCAAGGAGGTGACTAAGATGATATTTTATTCACAGTTCAATTCTGGAATTGCAATTATGTCATATCTCTAGAAGTAAATTAAATGAAAAATAACCAGTTTTTCTGGGATATGTGTCCTTTCAAGAGATTATCCATTTAGTCTTTGTTTTTGAGTTTTAAATTACACACTTAAATCCTTTTTGGGGGTGCTACAATATATGAACTTTTTTTATTAGTACATCAAATTATAAGATCTTATTCACTAAAAACAATGTGAAAAGACAACCCTCAGAACAGGAGAAGAAAAGCTATGACCAACGTAGAAAGCATATTAAAAAGCAGAGACACTACTTTGCCAACAAAGGCCCATCTAGTCAAAGCTATGATCTTTCCAGTAGTCATGTATGGATGTGAGAGTTGGACTATAAAGAAAGCTGAGTGGTGAAGAATTGATGTTTTTGAACTGTGGTGTTGGAAAAGACTCTTGAGAGTCCCTTAGACTGCAATGAGATCAAACCAGTCAGTCCGACAGGAAATCAGTACTAAATAGTCATTGGAAGGACTGATGCTGAAGCTGAAACTCCAATACTTTGGCCACCTGATGCAAAGAACTGACTTCTTTGAAAAGACCCTGATGCTGGGAAAGGTTGAAGGCAGGAGGAGAAGGGGACAACAGAGGATGAGATGGTTGGATGGCATCACTGACTCGATGGACATGCGTTTGAGCAAGCTCTGGGAGTCGGTGATGGGCAGGGAAGCCTGGCATGCTTCAGTCCATGGGGTCTCAAAGAGTTGGACACAATTGAGCAACTAAACTGAACAGGATGGGAGAAAATAATAGTAAAGGAAACAACTGACAAAGAATTAATTTCCAAAATATATAAGTAGCCCATACAACTCAAAACCAGAAAAACAAACAGCCCAATCAAAGAGTGGGAAAAAGAAATAAAAAGGTATTTCTCCAAAGAAGACACACAGATGACAAAGAAACACATGAAAAGATGCTCAACATCACTTACCATTAGAGAAATGCAAATGAAAACTACAATGAGATACCACCTCACACTAGTCAGAATGGCCATCATCAAAAAGTACAAACAATGCATGCCAGAGAGGATGTGGAGAAAAGGGAACCCTCTTGCACTGCTGGTAGGAATGTCAATAGAATGTAAACTGATACAGCCACTATGGAAGATGGTATGGAGACCCCTTAAAAAGCTAGAACAAAACCACCATATGACTCAGCAATCCCACTCCTAAGCATATACCCTGAGGAAACTAAAACTGAAAAAGACACATGTACCCCACTGTTCACTGCAGCACTATTTACAATAGCTAGAACATGGAAGCCACCTAGATGTCCATTCACAGATGAACAGGAAAAGAGGCTGTGGTACATATATACAATGGAATACCATCAGCCATAAAAAGAAACGCATTTGAGTCAGTTCCAATGATATGTACAAACCTAGAGCCCATCACACAGAGTGAAGTAAGCCAGAAAGAGAAATACATCATATACTGACACACATATATGGAATCCAAAAAGATGGTACTGATGAATTCACTTTCAGGGAAGCAATGGAGAAAGAGACACAGAGAACAGACCCATGGACATGGGGGAGTGGAGGAGGGACAGGGTGAGACGTATGCAGAGAGCCATATGGAAACTTACAATACCACATGTAAAACAGACAGCCAGCGGAAACCTGCTGTGTGACCCAGGGGACTCAAACAGGGGCCCTGTGACAATTCCTCTGACAGGGGTGCAATGCAGAGGGAGCTAGGAGGGAGGCCCTGAAGGGAGGGGACCTGGGCACACCTATGTCTGACCCTTGATGTACATCAGAAAACCACAAAATTCTTCAAAGCAATTATCCTTTAATCAAAAAGACCAATTAAAAAAAAAAGATCTTATTCAAAGTAGTGACCAAAGTGAACAGTATTTCAAGATGCCTGCAACAACTACAACATAACATTAAACAAGTAACTGTGATCTCTATTGGTGGAAAAGTTGCAGGCACTGCTTTTACTACTGTAAAAGTAATTTTACAATACTGATTTGCTGCCAGCATTCAGATTCTGGAGTAAAGCTAAAATTTCAGTTAGTGAAAGATAAAGATGTAATATTTCCCTCCATCAAGTTCACAGATACCCCTGACTTCTACCCATGGTTAAGAAGCCCTGCTTTCAGGGTGAGTTTTGGACATATTTGGGACCCATGGCTGCAAAGATTTAGAGAAGCAAGACCCTCACTTAAGAATCCCCTCTGTAGTGAAGATGGACATTCCAAGATGTTTCTTTCCTCCTATTCGTGGCAGTTGCTGGAGGTTCCCACTTGGAGGTTATATGTTCAGAACCGTTGAGGAGATACTTGAAAACAAGTTCATCAACTCAAGTTCTGGTTTTTCTGACTGCAATCAGCTTCCCAGTCCTTATCAGACTGTCAGCTAACTTAACATGTTAAGATGAATAATTCACTCCACTGTCTTCCACCTCAGAGGGCTGCAGGGTCTTGCGCTGTGGAGCAGCCAGGGACTGGGGCAACCTGTCCGCTGTGCTCATGGGGCAGTCCTGGGGGCGGATCTCCTTGGCAAGCTTCCCTTTCTTCAATGTGCACGCCTCCTGGTAGGGTGGTGAGATTGGGGGCTGCCTGGGTGGAGTGTACTTGTATTCTGAGCCGTCCTCTAGGTCCAGTGGGTAACTGCGGTCTGAATCATAGGTGCTCAGGTCCCCAGAGGTCACAAATGGCACAATGATGCGACTGGGGCCATCCAATTGGTTGAAATTCTAAGAGTGATCCAGCAAGGGTTTGGTCAGGTCTGGCAGGAAGCCCTCAGGGGGGTCTTAACCCTTACAGACAGCAAAGGCCTCGATGCTGGAATTCCAGCTGCTCCTGGGATTGGCACATAGCATGCTGGAGAAGACGACACGCAGCTGGCTGTAGATCAGTGTCACATCCTGGCCTCGGAAGATCTTGGCCACAAAGCAGCCCCCTGGCTTCAAGACGTACATAGCAAGGTTCAGAGCAGCTAGAACGAGTTGGGCCTGCATGTACTCATCAACATCGTGGAGGCCGGTTACATCAGCAGCCCCGTCACACACCACTAGGTCCCGCGGGGCAGTCTTCAAAGTGCTGGATGATCTCTTTGGCAGTGGACAGCTGGGCGATATCCCCCTGGATCTGTAACACACCTGGTAGTGGAGCCATTGCCTGAAGGTCCACAGCCACCACATGGCCAGAACCCTGGCCCCCAATCTTCTGGCTCAGCACTTGGCTCCAGCTGCCTGGGGCCGCACACAGGTCAACTGCCCATGTCATGCCTTGGAAGAGCTGGAATTCCTCGTCAAGTTGTAACAGCTTGAAAGTACTGCGGGCGCGCCAGCCATTTTCCTTGGCTAGGCGGTAGTAGACATCTCGCTTGTCCTTTGACGACCGTCCCATCTCACATACCGTTTGCCCAGGGGCCTGACAACAGTAAGCTCAAACTTTCGGGGTGGGGAGAAGAGGAACGAAGACAGCCGGTCCATAAGCAGCACAAGCCACAAGCCCGTGAGAAGTCTTAGGTTTTCGGATTGTGTCCTTAGTCGCTCTGAAAGCCTGTCGCGCATGCCTAACGGCGACCAGAGTGTGGCACATCTGTCATCGTGGAACGCAGTGGCTCGTGTGAAGCCGGACTGGACCAGAACTTACCACTTGAGCTCCGGCATCTCGTGGAAATGTAGCCAGTCTGACGAACTGCCGTTCCCAACACGCAACGGGTGCGAGTAAAGCCACTGGTCTCGCATGGTGAGGCAGAAACATCGCGAGGCACTAGAACTCGCATATAATTTCTGATAGTGCTTTCTCCGCAATTTTGAGATGCTCCTTAATTTTTAGTTTAAAATCTCTAAAAATAATTTTTAACATTTAGTTATGCTATATCTTTATTGCATTTCCCTTGGTATTTACATATAATTTTATTCACTCAAAAAACACTGTAAAGCAATTATATTCCAATTAAAAAAAGAGGGAAAAAAAATCTAACCAATGATGGAAATGCAGAAAAGCTTCTCTTAGAGTATTCACATATTACAGAACTAACGGTCAAATATCGTGGTACCTTTCCCCAGAAATCCTTAAAAAAAAAAAAAATACAAGATAAAAATTGCTGAATTAAGCATATTACTTCTTTAATAAAAAAGAAACATGCTAACTTAAAGTAAGGCATCTAATGAGCTGCAGGGGTGGCTTGCATACAAATGTGATTTTAAGACCAATTTCATCAACTCCTGGGAAAGAATCAACTTTCTATTATACAATGTCTTGTTTTTCAATTTCATGTCTAAAAGGAAAAGAAGACATGCACCTTGAAATTTATATATTATCTGTTACTTATAAAAATACAGCCAAACTTAACTTTCATAAAATACTATTTTATTTTAATGCAATTAATTACCAGCTAGTAGGTCTGCCGATGCTGACGAGCTAGAAGCAGCCTGAGGTGCAGGTTGGGGTTCAGAAGCACTACTTCCGAATGCATCTACCCATTATCCATTATGCAGCAAAAAAGTAAAAGAGTGTAAACAGTAAGTAAGGGAAGTGATTTGCTGAGAAATGCACAGATATGACACTCTGTGGTAAGGCTGTCACCTGTGGATATGTGAAATGACTGAATGGATTGAATTATGCTCTGACCAGTTCATTCTCTCAAAAGAAGAGTTCTAGGATATTTATAATTAACACCTCTTTGTAAGAGTAAGAAAATTATTTTTCTTCTTTTTTTTAAGGCTAAATCCTATAATCTGTCAAAACAGGATCAATGTTTTAAAACTTTTTGCTCAAAGCAAAGAATCCCCTCCCACTTAGAACTCTAGTAAACAAAATTTAACAAACTTAATTCAAGCAGCAGCTGCCCTACTTGCATCAAAGTTTAATGATTTTGCCACAGGTTTTGAACCTCTGAATGTCACAAACTGCGACACCTTTGTATCTCTCATATTCCTTTCATGGCATTCACCATAATGCATCAATGTATCCTAACTACTCAGTGTGGGTTTCACTTGCTAAGGATGGTATTTTAGCCCACAGCACACACATTTATGGAAATTCATAAAGAAATCACTCCAAACTTGGACTTTTCCCAATAAATTTACTGCTAACAGAAGACACTGAATGTATCATCCAAATGAGTAGTTCTAGAGTTAATTCAGTACATCTGCCTTTCTTCCAATAGCATACAGGAAAAGAAAAATACATTTAAGTCAGTGAAACATCTTCTAGTTCTCAGAGAGGATTTAGGAACATTAAACTCAACATAAATAAACCCTATGGAATAATGCATGACATCTAGAGCTTATGCTTTCAATTGTGACTGGCTTATCTTTTTTCAATTCCAAATTATCTATGTTTATATTGCTTTAAAGAACTTTGAAACACTGATTTAGCCGACAGATCAGGACCACCCAGGAAGGGCAGTAGCAGGAAATTCCAATCAGTTGATTCTACATTAGGATGAATGAAAAGTTAAAAACACAAGACTGCAAATGAAAAATCATCTGGTTTTGTTAGGACATGCACTAAAAAATAGGATGAGCTGATGAGGATGAAGATGATGATGACAAAGAAATGGAAAGATCTTAAAAACGTAAGTTCACATTTAAAAGATGAAAATAACTTCATATAGTCAAAAGAAAAAAAAATGAAGTACAATGGAGTACAAGATCTCAAAACTATTCTGGGGGGGGGGGATTTTGTGAGTGTTGAAGGAGGAGAGATACGCACCCCCAAAAAGGTCTATCACACCTGAAGAATCCACTTTTGCTGGCGAGGCAGTGGTTGCAGGAGATGGTGCTACAAATGTATCCACTGCAGCAAAGCACATAACAGGACAAGGATACGTCACCCAAAGGAAAATGAAACCCTGAGCCTCAACAAATAGCTTTCTGAGATTTCATGTTGAATAGCAGGAAGATCTATCCTCTTGTTAGACAGTCTTAACAGCTAAGTAAAAGCCAATAGATTTAAAAATACATACTTCACGGAAGAAAATAAAACTTGACTCCCTGAGGTCACAGGATGTAGTGTGAAAAAGAGTTTTTCTCTTTCCAGTTTTGATTTGAAATATAGGGGGCCATCAATTGGGGATGGACAAAAAATGAGATTTTTTTTTTTTAAAGTGAATTTTGAGTGTAAAAGAACTCAAGACAACCTTCATATTTTCACATCTGTCTCTCCACACATACCCCCCCACTCCCCACCCCCACCACTAAGACATCTAGTAAGGCTTGACCTTGGCAGAAGCACTCACCGGATAGGAGGTCAGCAGTGAGAGAGCTCTCAGGCACAGGAGAGGCCCCTTGTGGTGGAGAGGAGAAAGCATCTTCCCAAAGTGAAACAAACCAAAACCAAGCAGAAGTGAGTAGAGAGCTGAAATCACAGTCAGAAATCTAACAAGTGCATTATCACAGGGGTGGACCAAGGGTTTTGTCATGAAAACATCGAGGCAAACTCACGTAAAGAAACGGGGCTTTGGCTTTACCTGTCCCGAACAGGTCTATGCTAGGAGCAGCCTCTGGCTTAGGCGCGGGGGCGACTTCAGGAGCAGACTCAAACAAATCTAAGACCAAGAAGACACATGCCTTTACACAACTGGAGGAACCCGCCAGAAACCGCCGCACTTTCCAGTTGCGGGCGAGCACTTTTGGAACAGTTCTGAAACGAGCTGCAAATGGCTTCTGGAGAACCATTTCACGACACAGACATCATGCAGTCAAGAGTTCTGCGTATGCAGGACACCACAAGGACCGGAATCCAATCCACCGGGTGGGCAAGAGTTCAATGACATCGACAATGACAACAAAAACATTACCACCAAAGATATCTAGAGCGGGAGGAGCGGAGGTGGCGGCGGCGGCGGCGGCGGCGGCGGCGGCGGCGGCGGCGGTGGAGGCAGCGGTGGTGGCGGCAGCGGCGGCCGCGACGGCGGGGGCAGGAGAAGGAGCAGTGGCGGGAACCGGAGGGGCTGCGCTAGCTGTAGGGGTAACTACAGGAACACTGGTCTCGGGTGGCTTCATGGCAAAGAGGTCCAGCTCGGGTGCAGCCTCCGCACTACCTTCAGACGGGGCAAAAGGGTCTTGGGGAAAGGAAAGTGGAGACACACACAGCATCAGTAAGGAAATGGGCAAGAGCGCAGCGCTATAACTACGGGGACCAAGACACCTGGCACAGATATTCACACGCTAGCTAGGCTTTAGGCTGCTTGCTAGGCATTAGCTGCTGGCTACACGTTAGCTGCTGGCTAGGCATTACGCTGCTTGCTTTGAGCTACTACCCTACTGGGGGGGGGGGGCGGGGTCAGTGATTAGCATGTTCTTCTAAAGAGAAAAGAAAATTTAGCGGGTACCACGAATTCAGAAACTGAAACACTTCCAAGTATTTGTCAGGTTAGACTACAGTCTAGGATTGGAGATTGTTATTTTTTAAACGCTCACTTGATCTGGTCAACTTGGTAGCTTGGAAGATTCATGAAAACATGCCTGTATATTGGAATTCAGTGTTACAAAAAGAGTACAATACATTGATAGCATTTATGGTTGTTGTTGAGTTGCTAAGTCATGTCGGACTCTTTTACAACCCCATGGATTATAGCTCGTCAGGCTCCCCTGTCCATGGGGTCCATCCCAGGCAAGAATACTAGAGTGGGTTGCCATCTCCTTCTCCAAGGGATCTTTTCAACCCAGGAATCGAACCCGTGTCTCCTGCATTTCAGGCAGATACTTTACCACTAAGCCAACAGGGAAGTCCATCAGTAGCATTAGAGGGGAACAAAAACATTAAGACAGCATACTTGCAGTGACAAAAATTGTCAATCTTGAGAAATTGTCAATTTTGATAAGTATGCCCTTCGTTTTCTTAATGTTTTAAGTGTCAGCATTCTTCATTCTGTTAGGAGGAGTGATATTTTATGCTCAGAAGAAAGTAAAATTAGAAACACAGAGGGCCATGTCTAGCTACGGGGGTTTCACATCAGGACAAAACGACAACAGACGGGCTCAGGATTGGAAACCCACCATTTCCTGAACAAGCGTCAAGTGCCGCTGCTACGGGGGTTGGGGGGGCCGGCGCAGTGGCCCCTTCGGATGCTGTAGGGGCCTCCCCGGGAGAAGCTGCAAAGGCATCTTGGGTGCAGGTTTTAAAACAAAAGAAATGAAAGGGATAAAAAGAGAAGAAAAATATAGTGAAAGAACCAAGTTAAATTGCAAAGAAGGCTCCCTTATACAACATGAATTCTTAAAATGCATTTTTACGGCCCATGCACTATTGACAGTCACAGAACAATGACTCCTGGCGGCCCTTCATGTTGGTTACATGCAAAGTGGTGCAGTGTGGAGCCTGCTGAGACCTGTGAGGATCCAAAGGGTAACAGGATTCTCATTGTATAAGGGCTCTGAGAAGCATGTTTTAGGCATCACTAGAAAGTAATGGATGCAAAAATTAAAACACAAAAATTACTTTCTTAGGCAGTTCGAGACATTGAGCTTTCATTATTTATATACTATGTTACTACGATGTCTCTGACTCATGGTTTCTAGCAAGCATGGAGGTCCTCTTTAATGCCAATAAAATTAAATATACAATGACATAAACCATTTAATTTTTATTTTATAGTCTAGGCAAAATTGCACTGTTGACATGACATATATTAAATATTCATAAGTTAAACTTTCATTATCTCCGAGAAACATTTTCAGACACAACCAAGGATTTGCTTTAAAGAACTAAAGAAAAAAAATTCGGAGATGATGCCATAATGCCTTTATTTTGACTTAAATTTATGGCTATTTTCAAATACTGCATTGCTCTAGTTATGTGGAAAATTACCTGTTTTCAATGAACTAAAAACATAGTTTCATGTTTTGAAACTACAAGTGTGTACCTGTTTACAATAAATTATAATAATATACAGTAGATCCATTAACATACATGCAGCCTCCATTTATAAAAGCCCAATTTATAAATGGCTGATGTGTGCAAGGATCCCAAATGTGTTTCTGTCAACACACCATGTTAATTATGGTAAAATTAGTTTTACCTGGAGTTTTCAAAGAAACCCTTTCATTCCAAAGTACAAAAGGAGTGAAGTTATCATAAATATGACCTGCCTAGAAGAAATTCCTAGAAAGTGGGGACCAAAAAATACCTGCCACTTACCTGCTAGACTTATATCCTAAACTGCTGCCTTCTGCAATACTTACCAGCATTCCCTAGAACATTGCTCCTCCAGCCATTAAGAAGAATTTGTCAAACAAAATGCTACTGAGTATTTCCCCTTTCCCAGAGATTTACCTGGTCTATTAAGTGGTAGGAAATCCTACAGTCAAAATACTTGTTTCTCAGTTTAACCCAGAGTGTTTCAAATGGATCTGAGTATTAGACACACTATGATGTCATCCTGAAACCCAGAATTAACAAACATTAAACATTAGAGACTCAAGTGGGTTAAAAGGTTCTTTACAAAAACACCAATATCCATGGAATGGACAATAGGACAATCATATGTTTCAACTTGATTTGATTGATTCTCACAGCTACACTGAGGGAACACGTTCTGGTAAAGGGCAGTCAAGGGAGATGGTGAATAACAACAATGGCATATGAAAAACACACTCGGAGATAGGACAGACAGCCTCCCCAGGTGCCATGTTAAGGATACTATCACAGAAGACTTAGGGCAACATGAAAGCACTAAGAACTGGGGCCAACAGTCTAAGAAAAGGTTTGTTGTTGTTTAGTCACTAAGTCATGTCTGACTCTGCAATCCCATGGGCTGTTGAAAATATTTTGCTGTGAGTCAGGTCTGTTTTCTTTCTTTTTATTCTCATAAAATCTGGAACTGAGGATAGTGAGATTGGTAGCAATAGAAGCAGTAATAGCAGTCACTATTGGTGTGCCAGTCACTATGTAAATATTTCATTGGCATTATTACATTTAATTCCTACAACTCTGTTGGGATGTAAGTTCTATCATCTCCATTTTGTAGATAAGAGAATGGAAACTTGTAAACTCTGAGGATTTGCCCAAGGTTTGGCAAATGGTGGAGTCAGGATTTGGCTGTAAGCTGTCTGACTGAAGTTTGTGGGGTTAACCACTCTTCTGTGATAAACTGTGCCACTTTCTACTATACTGTTCCCTCCTTGTAGGACTGAATTAAGATCAGTTATATCAGTGCTGCTGGCTTCCCTGGTGGCTAAGATGATAAAGCGTCTGCCTACAATGACGGAGATCTGGGTTCGATCCCTGGGTTGGGAAGATCCCCTGGAGAAGGAAATGGCAGCCCACTCCAGTACTGTTGCCGGGGAAATCCCATGGACAGAGGAGCCTGGTAGGCTACAGTCCACGGGGTCGCAAAGAGTTGGACATGACTGAGTGACTTCACTTTCTTTCTTTCTTTCTTTCTTTCTTTCTACATCAGTGCTGAGTTCAAACAAGTATTCATGGGTGTGCCTCTTTAATGATCACTTCTGTGTAAGCAGATGAAACACATATTTGTAGCTATATCTTCAGGAAAGGTGGTTTTTTAATTTTTTCCCTGTCAGCAAGACATCTCCTTTTAATGTTTCTCTGAAACTAAACATTATAAACTTAACTCATCTACTACTGTCAAAACTGCTCTTAAACAAAGAACCCCCAGCTGCTCCAGCCTGTGGCTTTTAAGTCCTCCCAGCACAGATGGAGATGTGAATGAATGAGACTGGATGATCCCAACCCCACAGCCACTGTATGACTATAGCCATGAAAGAGAGAAAGAACTGTCCAGCTGAGCTCAGCAGACCCCCAAGACTGTGAGAGATAATAAAGCAATTGTGATGTTGTTTTTTAAAAAACAATAAAACTTCTTAGCTACCCAGCTTTCTTTCATAATCGATGGCAGAATTATCCTTCCAGCACTGAAAGCTAAAACCACCTCCAATCTAGTTCTCTTTCCGTTGTTACCCGCAGTTCATGTCTACATTCTGCCAGTTACCAACCAGCCCCTGCTATTTCTAGGAAATGTGTGTTCCTGCTTTTCTACAGCTATGGACTCAGTCCAGTCTTACCCAGAAAACCAGTCTCTCAGATACTGTGCAGACTAGCCTTCTCTTCCTTCTGGCAACATAGGGAGAATTTTTCCCCTAAATTTTTATTATGTGCCTTACTTCCTTTGTGAACATTTCTTACTGCTCTTGTCCTCCCCAGGCTGAACTATTCCTCCTTGTCTTCTTCAGCCACATAAGCCATCTTTAAATCACATATGTGGCTCAAAGGTTTCAATCATTCTCAACATCTTGAGCCCAAAAGCCACCACCATTTCATTTTCTTTCCCAAAGGTCTCAGATTATAACGTTGTTCCATGAAGTCTAGTTGTGAGGGCTTATACTTAAGTATTGATTTTAAGGAAGGTTAATTAACTTAGTTTGTTAAGCAGCCTGTACAAATGAGGTCAGGCTTGGTAAGCAAGTTCTTTGGTTTTCTAGCCACTTGGTTCTGTGCTCGCAGCCTAACATCTTCATGCAGGATGCTCACCAATTAACACAGTAGACTGAAAGGGTATCCTGGCAAATGCAAGAGGAATTAGCATCAATTTAGCATTGCACTGCTTATTTGAAAAACACTATGTTGTTAAAAAAAAAAAAAACTAATATGTTGTTGTTACTAAAGTTTACATCAATGAAAAACAGAATGTTTTAAAAATTTTTGTTTTCTCTTAATATCTGTTTTATTAGTTTTTTAAAGTGCAACACTGCCTTGCAGTCCTGTTCTGCCTGACCAGAGAAGACAGATTTTATTTTTTTAACAGTTCCTTTTAAAAAATAAAGCATTTAACAAATATAATGTTTCTTAAAAAATGTTTTTAATGACTTACAATGAAATGACTAAAACATTATGTAGGTATCAATATGAGTATTTTAAAATGACAGATAGACCCTACTTTTCAAATCTGTAATGAAAATATAAGACTAAAATGCACAGAAAATTTTAATGTTTAATATTTCATATTCCTGAAAATTAAAAAATTAGCCATTTTAAAATGCATTAATCCTATTTCTAAAGTCTATTTAATCCTGCTAGCCTTGTTACATAAAACCTCATAGGGGCATATTTTAAAGTCATATATATGAAATAACTGATGCTCTTATTATTCAAAAGTTCTACCACTTGCCCATTTTAAAGATACATTTTTTTTTAAATGGCCACACAACATGACTGGAGAGATTTTAGTTTGAATTTTAATTTAAAGTCCTACCTCTAAATGATTTCTTATAAACCCATAAAGAACATGAAAGAAACAAGGGAATATCACTGGAAACTACTAACATAAAACATACAGTGAAACACATAAAGTTATGAACATAAAGGTTAGAGATTTTACAGCTACCAGTGGCCAGGAGACAGTTTAGAGAATTAGAAAGATTAGTAAAAGTAATTGTAATGAGATTTGCAGAGGTACTCATCACCTCAGCCTCCAGCCATTTGACTAGAAAGGATATTGGTGAAATAAGAGAAGAGCTTCCATTCTTTGGCACTAAGTAATATGATTTGCTACAGTACTGACCTTTTAAACTTGTATAGCAGGGAGAAAGAATGACATCATAAAAATATTTCCAAACATATAGATTCTTCTGCTTGATGGATGTCATCAAAGCAGTAATGATCAACACAAACAGCATAATGGCACAAAGAATATTTACAGGAAATATCTTAGGCTTTAGAGGACCATGAGAGAAGCAAGATGGAGTTGATTGATTTCTTATAGGCAATTAAGCTTCTTTAAATGGACTGAAAAACAAAAATCTAAATAGCTAAAGGAACAGAAATGTTTACATACAAAATTGTTACCACCCTGCTCATATTTTTCTTCGATTTTCCTGTTAACATAAGTCTATGAGAAACCATCCATACTCAAGACCAATCATGGGGGAAGAAGGACGGGATGAAGAAGTTGATTTTATAAATGTAAACTAAAACTCTAATTTCTAGTCTCAAAAGTTATAGAGGCATAACTGAAAAACTAACTTTCTCTAGCAAATAATTCTTTATAATAAATTATTTAAGAATCTGAAAATCCCTTCTACTTTTTTTTTTTAATAAAAGCAGATTTTTTTTGTAATAGCATGCAGCAAGGCAGCAGCAAATTGCCTCACATGAAACAGAGGCAAAAATGCAGTATCAAGCTGAGGATTCCTTGTCTCAGACACTGTTCTTTTTTTTTTTTTTTGCATCCTCTGATTTCTTTACCATATTTTCAAAATGCCCTGGTAAAGATGTTATGTTGAAATGAAGAAACACAAAACTATGATGATTATAACACTATTCAATGTACACATCTAAAATGAGCACTTCTCCAGGTTTAGACATAAGCATGACTCAAGATGGGAAGATGTAAATAATGTGGCTTCAGATGGTTCATTGGGTCCAGGCATGTTATACTGGCAGAGCCTAGGATATCTGAATCAGGCTTACAGCTGTAAATCAACTCTGTCAGAACTTAGATTTGCATGGAAAAAAAATATTTTCAGACTATCATTTCAAAGTCTGATATAAACCTGTTTTCAATCAGCATCGCAAATACTAACTCCAGTGATCTCTCAAAGTTCTGAAGCCAAAAATAATCCAAATATTTGCTTGCAAAGAACAAGCTTAAGGTTGCAAAAATGGATATTCTTAAACTTTTCAGAGACCTCTAGGTCTGAACTTTTAGAGGACTTTTTGTCTTAAAACTTTAAAAATAACTTAGACCACAATTCCTCCTCCCATAGTCCCCAAATATTTTTTTCCTTCTCAGCTAGTTCAAATCTAAAAAGAAATTCCAAAAACCCAATCCTAAATATGGGAGGATAGAAGGATCTGAGACCACCCTTATAGATACTGCAGGGCTGGAGCCCATATATGGGACAAGAGTCCTAATAGTGACTTAAATCCTAACTTTGCAAAAAAACAGAAAATAAAATAGGTCCAAAGCATTGCAAGCTGTGCTCTAAAACCACTGAAATTTGAAGTTGACAAACTGAGCAAAGATACATATGAATAAACATTTAAAAAGTACTTAAAAGTTGTGTCATACTGTTCCATCATGTAAAATATTTTAAACATCTTCATACTATGGTTATTTTAGTAATCCTGGAAGGAAAATGAAAGAAGAGTGATGTGACTGACTAACCTCCAAAGAGATCGACGTCAGCAGTGACAGCAGTGACAGTTGTGGTGGTTGAGGCAGAGGCTGCAGCCGCTGCAGTTTCAGCAGTTGTAGCAGGAGGAGTAGGTTCTGGTGCAAACGGATCTGAGATCTGCGCTTCAGAGGGAACAGAGGCAAGTGCAGCCAGAGAATCTACGTGGCACCAGAACAAATGGAAGAGAAGAAAAGGAAAGGACAAAAGATATACCAGGCTCCAAATGATCAAAGTGAGGGCAACTATTAAGATATGGAGGTCTCTCAAAACAGAGATTTACAGATAAAGTTTTACTCACCCTCTCCTAAAAGGTCTATTGATGTCCATGGGGTCAGCATATGAAGAAATAAGAAATAAAGCTGAAACTTTCAACCCCACCAACGTCCAAGCAGGGTGTGGCATTAACTGAAGAAAGTTTAGCTTTATGTACCTTTCTGGACCATTTGTAATTAAAAAGTAAATGTTACCTATTATTATCATGGAACTTTAGAGCCGGAAGTGACCTTAGGGATCCTTTAGATCAAATTTCCAATTTCACAGATGGGAAAACTGAGGCAAGGAAGGTCAAGAGACTTACCTTAAGTTGGGTCTAAATGACTTTGATGAACTCAATTGATTTCTTTTCAGAGTTACCATTTCGTTTGCTTTGGCTGATTTCATTATACTATAATTGTCAATTCTGAAGAAACCATAGTTAACTGAACTTTGCTGATCCTCTTTATTTGATGTGTCACTTCAGTATAGAATACCAGACCATGAATAGAAGCTTTAAAATGGCTGTAGTTTAACTGTGCAACATATTAACTTGAGTGAAAGTTTAAGGGTTAGAGAAAAGAAACTCAAACCTATTTTCTTCTTTATCAGTTTCACATTACCAGATGTTTTTCGGTTTAATATATGACTTCTACACTTATAAACATTATGTGACAACATATGAAAATTATTTTCAAGATGAATGTGAGAGATTCTGTAGTATCAAAACTTTTCAGCCCTTCTGAGGTCAGCATTCCATTGAGAGGTTCATACTTTCTTAGTGATCAACAGTGGGATTACAGATGGCATCCTAAATAATAAGCCTAAGATATGACTTTAAGTTAAACATTTGGAGTGTCCAATGCATTCCTCTGTATCAGTCACGTGATACATCTCAGGCATCAATTCGAATTCATGAATGTTACTGGAAATTTAAACATGAAGAAACTTTATCAAAACTCATTTGGAAGCTATTTTTTTTCCAGAGCTTAAAAACGATATGAGAACTCAGTAAACCAAAAGTTCCAGAAGACATTTAAAAGGTTGAGAAACATAAATTTGACATTAATAATAACTACTTTAGACATAAAGATACACAGACCGGAAGTGAGGGGATGGAAAAATGTATTCTATGTAAATAGAAATGAAAAGCCAGGGTAGCAATACTTATATGAAACAAAACACACTTGAAAATAAACTGTTATAAGAGACAAAGAAAAATATTACATACTAATCAAGGGATTGATTAATGAAGAAAATATGACAATTGTAAAAATATATGTACCCAACATGTATGTGTGTGTGTGTGTATGTGTGCTCAGTCATTGAGTCATGTCCAACTCTTTGCGAGCCCATGGACTGTACCCTCTAGGCTTTCTTGTCCATGGAATTTTCTAGGTAAGAATATTGGAGCAGGTTGCCATTTCCTACTCCAGAGCATCTTCCCAACCCAGGGATCAAATCTGAGTCTCCTGTGTCTCCTACATCGGCAGGCAGATTCTTTACCTGGGAAGCCCCATGCAACCAAAATAGGGGCAGCTAAATACATAAAGTAAATATAAACAGACATAAAGGGAGTTACTGACAGTAACACCAAAGGCATAGGGGACTTACATCAATGGACAGATCATCGAAACAGAAGATCAATAAGGAGACACTGGCCTTAAACTACATTATTAGATCAGATAGACTTTATACATATTTTTAAACTTTATATAAATTTAAATGTTTATGTACACATATGTATAAACATTCCATCCAAAAGTAGTAGAAAACACATTCTTTTCAAGAGCACATGGAATAATTTCTAGGATAGATCATATGTCAGGCAACAAAAGAAGTCTCAGTAAATTTAAGACTAAATTCATATCAAGGACCTTTTCCAAATACAATGTTGAGACTAGAAATCAACTACACGAAAAAACTTTAAAAAACACAAATCCATGGAGGCTGAACAACACACTACTAAATAAAGGATCACTGAAGAAATAAAAAAGGAAATAAAAAATACCTGGAGACAAGTGAAAATTAAATACAGTGACTCAAAATCTATGGGAAGCAGCAAAAACAATTCTAAGAGGAAGCTTTATAGCAACACAAGCCTATTTCAGGAAGTGAGAAAAATCTCAAATACAACATAACGTTACACGTAAAAGAACTATAAAAAGGAGATCAAACAAAAGTTAGAATAAGGAAAGAAATCATAAAGATCAGAGCAGAAATAAATGAAATAGAGATTGAAAAACAATAGAAAAGATCAATGAAACTGAGAGCTGTCTCTTGAAAAAATAAAATTAATAAACCTTAAGCCAGATTCATCATGGAAAAAAAAGAAGAGAGGAGCCAGATCAATAAAATCAGAAACAAAAAAGGAGAAGTTATAACTAACACCACAAAGGATCGTAAGAGATTCCTACAAACAATTAAATGCCAAAAAATGGGACAATCTAGAACAAATGGATAATTTCTCAATACTGAATCAAGAAAATAAAACATACAAAACAGATCAGTTAACAGCAGGGAAACTGAATCAGTAATAAGAAAAATTCCCAACAAACAGAAGTCCAGGACCAGATATATGGGTTCACAGGTGACTTCCATCAAATATTTATTGAAAAGTTAACACCTATCCTTCTGAAACTATTTCAAAAACCTGCAGAGGAACGGACACTTCCCAACTCATTCTAAAAGGCCAGCATCACCCTGATCCAAAACCAGACAAAGATACCACAAAAAAGAAAGCTGGAGGCCAATATTACTGATGAATGCAGATGTAAAAATCCTCAAGAAAATATTAGCAGACAAAATCCAGCAATACATTAATGATCATGATTAAGTGGTATTTACCCCAGGAACAGTTACAAATCAGTATGATACATCACACTAAGAATAAAAATGATATGCTCATCTCAATGGATGTGGAAAAAAAATTCTGACAGATTTCAACATTATTTATGATAAAAACTCTCAACAAAGGGGACATATAGGGAATATACCTCAATGTAATAAAGGTGACATATGACAAACCCACAGCTAACACAATACTCAACAGTGAAAATCTGAATGCTTTTCCTCTAAGATCAGGAATAGGAAAAGATTCCCATTCTTGCCATGTTTCTTCAGTATAATATTGGAACTCCTAGCCACAACAATCATATAAAGACAATCAGGAAAAAATGAAAGGAATCCAAACTGGAAAGGACATACTAAAACTGTCACTCTTTGCAGAAGATATGATACCATACATAGAAAATCCTAAAGATGCCACCAAAATAAAACTACTGAACTACTAAAATCATATCAGTTCAGTAAAGTTGCAGGATACAGAATTAATATACAGAAATCTGTTGAGTCTCTATACACTAAGAGTGAACTACTGAAAAGTGAATCCACATCCATGTGGCAATTAATTTACAACAAAGGAGGTCACAATAAAGGGGAAAAAAGACAGCCTCTTCAATAAATGGTGGTAGGAAAACTGAACTGCTACATGTAAAAGAATCAAACTAGACTTTCTCACATTATGTATAATAATAAATTTGAAGTGGATTAAAGACTTAAATTTAAGACCTGAAAACATAAAACTTCTTAAAGAAAAATACAGGCAGTATACTCTTTGATATTGGCCTTAATAATATTTTGGGGAGTATGTTTCTTCAGACAAGGCAAACAAAAAACAAATGGGACTATGTCAAACCAGAAAGGTTTTGCACAGTGAAGGAAATAATCAAAAAAATGAAAAGGCTACCTACTGAACAGGAGAAGACATCTGAAAATGATAAACCCACTTAGGGGTTAATAACCAAAATACACAGATAACTCACACAGTTCAACTGCAAAAAAAAAGCAAACAACTTGATTATAAAAGAGATAGAGGACTTGAGTAGACATTTTTCCAAAGAAGACATACAGACAACTATCAGACACATGAAAAGATGCTCCACATCACTAATTGTCAGGGAAATAAAAATAAAAACCACAATGAAAATTCACTGCAAGACTGTCTGTTATCAAAAAGACAACAGATAACAAGTGTTGGTGAAAATGTGATGAAAAGGGACTCCTCATGCACTGTTAGTGGGAAGGTAAACTGGTGCAGCCACTATGGAGAACAAGATAGAGATTCTTCAAAAAATTAAAAACAGAACTACCATGCAATCCAGCAATTCCACTCCTCCTGGTTATTGATCCAAAGAAAATGAAAACACTAATTAGAAAAGGTACATGCATCCCTATATTCATTGCAGCATAGTGAGATATGGAAGCAATGTAACTGCCTATCACTAGGTGAATAGATAAAGATGTGTGTGTCTATCTAGCTATCTACCTATAATGGAATATTACTTCTATCTATAATGGAATATTACTTAGTCATAAGAAAGAGTGATTTTTTGTCATCTGTGACAATGTGAATAGTCCTAGCGGGTTGTCATGCTAAGTGAAAAAAGTCAGAGAAAGACAAATACTATACAATTATATGTAGAATCTAAAAAACAAACCAAATGAACAAACATAACAAAACAGAAACAGAATCATAGATATGCAGAACAAACAGGTGGTTGCCAGAGGGGAAGGGTTGTAGGGTAGGAGATAAATAGATGAGAGAGATTGAGAGGAACAAACTTTCAGCTGCAAAATAAATGAGTCATAGGGATGAAATGTATTGTGGGGAATATAGTTATTAATACATAACATCTTTGTATGGTGATGGATTATAACAAGACTTAAGGTGCTTACTTTTTTGAAACGTATAGAAATACTGAATCACTATATTGTATAATGGGAACTAACAGTGTTTTAGGTCAAATATACTTCAAAACAAATAAACAAATGAACACAGAGAAACAGAGATCAGATTTGTGGTTACCAGAGGAGGGGAAGAGTGAAGGGGAGTTTGATGCAGGCAGTCAAAAAAATGCCACCTTCCAGTTATAAGATAAGTAAGTACTACGGATATAATATAAAACAAGATAAACATAATCAGTGCCACTGTACGTTACATATGAAAGTTGTGAAGAGAGTAAATGCTAATAGTTCTCATCACAAGCAAAAAAACCTTTT